AAGAACGTCTTTTCCTTGCCATCAAACTAGATGCAATATTATCACGGATAAATGTCATTTCACGGACTCTCATATGTTCAACGCCTTGTCCAGAAGTAAACTCAACGTCGCGAAAGATATCATCTGGTATGAAATCTGGATCTCGATCAATGATATTAAAACCTGGATTCCCAATCGTGATTTTCCGAATGTACTTATGCAGTGCAAAACATGACCAAATTATCTTATCGTGGTCACATAATGAATATATGGACATTTTTTGTAATATTCTCCACCGCGACTTAAGAACTCTGAAAGCCCTCTCAATGCAACTTCTTAGAGATGAATATGCTGGATTAAACACTTCTTGAGATCCACTTGGATTTGCAGCATGAAATTCCATTTAATGATACCTTGTCTTGAAGTAAGGTGTGAGATACCTTTGTCTTTCTGGGAAACCTTTATCAACTAAATAATATTTACCTATATATGTACATAAAAATAATGTTACAATATTTCTTTGCCATGCGCTTAGTATAAAAAAATCAACTACCTGGTGTTGGGTTTGGAAAATTTAGACTTGGGTTATTGATTGCATCGAAGAAAATGCGAGCATCGATCATGTGATGTCCCCTCCCATCGAGTCAAAATATATGTGAATAATAAATTAAAATCACATGCTGCCAAGACATTTGTGGTTGGTATCCCTTTATGTGAAAATCTATAGGACCCGCCATCTCTTTAAAACAAGATCGATATAGTTAATTACTCACTCCATTCTAGAGCTTAATTTCTTATTAAAATAGTCAAGTTATATTGTTGTAATTGATGTAAAAAAGAGTATCAATACCAACCATACAATCCATTTCCAAAAGGAAAATGAGGATAATCTGGATAGACTGATAGGATATCATATCCCAAAATTGAAGTGTGAGATTTTTTAAAGAAGATATGATAAATATATTGCTCGTACACTTTCCACTCATTATATTTGGAACACAAGAAATTGACACGGAAAATTAAAGAAATTGAAATTATATGATTCATATTTATTTGTAATAAGTTATATACATGGAATCTTAGTCATAAAAATAAGGGAAATAGATTTTCCTAAATAAGAATAAACAAAAGTAGAATTACAACAATAGGAGTTTAAACTTTAAAGCTAAGTTCAAATTCCCAAAATAGGACTAACTTTTCCTATTCTGCCCTTATCATTGTCATTCTTAATTAATAGGATTTTTTAAATAGAAATAAAACAAAAAAAAATTAAAATAAAAACGTAAAAAATATAAAAAATATAAAAAAAAATACAGGCCTCAACCACCACCTCAGTCACTGTCTAGCACCACCACTCCCGGTCACCGAGAAAGAATGTCAAGTTGAAAAATGTCATTATGATGACAATTTTGAAAATAAAGTTATATATTTTTAAATAAAAAAATATCATTTCCATGACACTTTATGAGGAATGTGACATTTTTTGCACAAAATCATTTTTTTGACAATCGAAACTGGTGGTGCTAAGAGGTGGAGGGCGTGGTGGCAATGGCCTACACATTTTTTCTAACATGTTTTATGTATTTTAGTTACTTTTTTAGACTTTTTTGTTATTTAAATATTTTTTATTATTTTTTTTTGTTTTCCCGTTATTATTATTAATTTATAAATATTTTTTACTAATATTTTTCATGTTTTTAATATAAATAAATTATGATTTTCTTATTAATAAAATAAATCTATTAGATATTATAGGAAGGGGTAGAATCGTAATAAGAGACATGTATTACTCTTAATTTGAGAATAAAAGAATTATGGTCTTATTATTGCATGTATTTAGGGCTACTTTTATTCCTACTTAGGGTTAGTAGTTGTAAAAGTGTTATGAAATAGTGTATGAAACAAAGTTTTGAGGTACATAAATAATTTGAAAGATAAAACAAAGTTTGTGAGACAGAATTAATTATATAATGTCATAATTAAGATCTTATAACTTTTGAAATTAGACTAGATTTTTGTAGGAGTTTGGCTTCTTAACTTTTCCTGTGTTAGCACTCAGCATCATATGCAAGATATACAATTCTAAAGTATTTTTTCATTGTGAACATAAATGATTTGGGCCGCAAAGCCTTGGGGTATATATTCACAGCTTGGGATGAGGTTTTTGAAATGGGTAATTCTATTCACAGCTGGGTTGGCCCATTCCAATCTAACAAAAGCGTACCCAATGTCGGGTTGTATTATAGTGGGCTGATAAGTTGATTTGTTTGACTACTATAGTCAGCCGATATCAGTATACAATACAAAATGGGCCATACTTTTCAAATGTCAAATCAAATTCTAATTACAAACTGGCCTACACTGTAAATCCCACTTGGGTGCCGTTGATCTGATGAAATAATACAAAGTTTCAGCAGCATAGAATTCTGGATATAAATTCCTTAAAACAAAAGGATTATGGAATCTGGATATAAATTAATTAAAGGTTTAAATGTGTTTTTAGTCCCTGTAAATATAGTATATTTTGTTTATATTCGATTTTTTTTCATCGTTAAATATTTTTTGATTTTCTTTTTAGTTTATCACCGATTACAACAATCTCTGCTTGACCTCATATTAATTCCAAATAATAAAGCTCATATTAGCCTCAAAAACTTATACAAGGAAAAATTTAAATATTTCTAGTAGATTTATGAAACTCACAATAACTTTTTTATCCTAAATAGAGTGGTTTCGAAATTAAAGATGGAATGAAAATAAAATAGTGCATATTATAGGGATAAAATACAAAAAAAAAATTACAAGAACTTTAAACAAAGTGTGTCATATTTGAAGGGACTACAAATACAACAAATTAGATTGCAACTCGCGTGGCTCAATTGTTGCTGTTGAATTGCATGCCATCTTGGGTGGGGAAAAATTGTGCGGTAATATCCCTCCATTCCAAATTGATTTGCAAAATCAATTTTTTTGTCGATTAAGATTAAAGTTAAATTCTTACTATTGATAATTAAGTCCGTTTTAATAATTACAATTTAAGAAACTATATTAAAATCTTATTTAGGATCAAATTTACTCGGGACTGTTTCGTCTTGAGTTGCACACGTCTGAATTTGGTGTGGAAAGAGTTGCTGACCAAATTGGTAACTTTTGAAAAATACTCATTGAGCAATCTCAGCTTATTGAGAATCACTAAACTTAATGATGAAGCAGACATGTATATGAAGAATCATGTGCAGCGGCATTATTATTACTATCACGGTATTTCAGAATTAGCGAACACCGTTTTTAATAAGGAAAATTATGATTCTTCCAAAAAATATAAGGAAAATTATGACCGTCTTTATATTTTTTATTTTTAATATTTTTAAGGGAGAACTATCAAATAAGCCCTTGAACTTTCATAAAAAGTGCAAATAAGCCCTTTTTATAGGAGGCACTGTCCGGCCGTCACCATTTGGAGCGCTTTCCGATGAATTTTTTTGATGAAATTATTTTAACATATTCTTCATTAAGTCTAGTTTACTCATACCAAATTTCACATAAAAATTCAATCGGGAAGACAGTCAAATGATTTTTTGAAGATAAGTGCGCAGTTAGGCAGCGCAGTATATTTCAGAAAATCATTCGACTGTCTTCTCGATTGAATTTTTAGCTGAAATTCGGTATGGGTAAACTAGACGTAGTGAAGAAGATGCTCAAAAAATTTCATCAAAATTTTCAACTGGAAACCGCCACAAAATGGAGACAGCAGGACAAAGCCTCATATAAAAAGGCTTATTTGCACTTTTTATGAAAGTTCAAGGACTTATTTGATAGTTCTCCCTATTTTTAATTACTTTATAGTGTGTTAATATATTAATTGCATATATACAGTGCAACCATTTATTTACATGGTTATTTTAAGGATGGATAAAATGGTTTGGTGCAATCGAACCGAACCAAATCGAAAAGTGGTAATTTTAAGTTTTACACATTTCACAATTTTATTATGACAAAGTTAATTGATACTCTGTATAATGTACATATATTTGTAATATTTTGTACTAAAGTGTCAAATGTAACAAAAATGGTAAAAAGTAAAGCAACAATATAAATTATACGGAGTAGTTAATTACATTCTTCGTATTAAATAGTTCATTTCTGCAACTTTGGTAAATCAACAAGACGAGTTTTTCCCCGGAATAATGCTAATTAAATAAATAATTCTCGAAATAATGCCGGGTTAATAATAATTCCCAAAATACTGTCGGGGTTAACCACGATTAAGGAAAGCCGTCACTCGAAGTGGCGGCTCTTGTATTGCATGCTTCACAAAAGCCACCACTTCGAGTGTCGGCTCTTCTTATGTATCACAAAAGCCGCCACTTCGAGTGGCGGCTCATTAATTCACACAAATCCCCCTTCTTCCTTAGCCGACGAACACAGACGAAAAATCCCCCTTCCCTCTGCAATCTGCGCGAACGACGAACGAGAACAACAAAGATATTCCGATTCCGGCCAGAACGCCTCCAAACGAAGCTCAAATCAATCGTAGAAGAGACACGGTGTATCTGAGATCGTTTGTGCTCCATTCTAGCGCCCGTTAACCGTCTGAATCGAGGTATTTCACCAATTTTTCTAAACCTAGTTTTTTTAATTTAATGTTCGAAATTAGTGTGTTTTTTTAAATTTTTTTCTTTGTATTTGATGTTATGAAATATATAAGTTTTTGTTGTTGTTGTTGTTATTATGATTGAATTTATATAATTTGTATCACATCATTAATATGTATCTATCAGATTTTGTAATTGAATGAAATCATAAAAATGATACATATGATTTAATACAGTTTCTTTGAATTAGTAGTTGAATTTTCAATGTGCGACATATATCATTTTTTGGAATGATTTTTGATAGAATGTCTCCAAACTTCCCCATTGTGTGTCATTGGGGAGGAAATATAATCGAGGAGTCGAACGGAATTCGTTATGAAGGGGGGAGTAGGAAGATAATTGTTGTTTCCTGTGGGGTGGGTGTGGCTGAGCTAATGAATAAAATTTATACCGCCACATCCATGAATCGTATGAACAAGTTGGATTTGAAAATTAAATATCCCGTTCATGGTGGGTCATACATGTTGATGCCTCTTGCTGACGACGAAGCCGTTACGGGGATGTGGACCTTGATCACGAATCTTGCTATGCATACCATGGAGATATATGTTGAAGAAGCGACTGTGTTGGCCATACAACCTGACAACCTGTCATTATCTTACCCATCCATAAGTGTTCCAGTTATGATGAATATGGTTGCACAGGAGAATGGAAGATACGTGAACAATGATTCAACGTTTCTGGATTCACAGCACATCGACGACGATGCAGATGAAACTGTGAATCATGACACACTAACAGATTCAGATGAAGATGGTGGTGATCTCGTAAGTGCCAATGCTCCATCCAGCCACTACACTAAAGTTTATGAGCTCCCTGCGAGATTTGATGAATCATGGAGGGGTTGTACAACTTCCAATCGCTTCTCTGCAGATGGTGAATTCGAGGTTGGGCAAGAGTTTGATGATAAGAAACAACTGATTAACATGGTTAGAATGTACTCTGTAAAGAGGAATCAGTTTTTCTCGTTTACCCACTGATCATTACCAGCCTAGCTCAGTCGCTCTTCATATGACGGTAAAGAATATAGTCAATAAAATAGCTTTATTTATTTATTCATATATTTTTTTAGTAATAACCATGTTTGCATTACAGACACGTGCTTTGCGTAGCATCCATGACACAGCGACTGATGTACTTGATGAGGCAGTAGATATACAGGGATATCATGAGGCTTGTTCGGGCATTGTTGCTTTGTGCGCTGATGTATTGGGTCGAGTGGATTATGGATATATGGCCGACTCTCAGCATTTTACCGCATCTACATCCACAACAGGGTCTTCTCAGACAGTCAGGCGTGATAGAGTTGTTCTTCAGCCTCGTAACCAGCGCAGGCGCCGCCGAGCACAACCACAGCCACATGAACTTCATGATGATGATGATCACGTTGACTTATGATCTTTGTATTTATATTATTGTGTGAGAGTTGTAACATGCACTGGCAAATCGAATCATTTTGTGAAACACCGGATTTATTATAACTTTTATGTTTATTTCAAGTGTTGCAATGCAATGAGTTTCATTGATTCGTTTTGTGTTTCAGATGTATTTTGTCTTAGTAAATCATATATTTGCTTGTTTGTTTGAGTAGAATGGACTGTGATGAGGACATTTGCTGCTAACTATAGGTTCTTTTGGTTCATTTGTGAAATAAACAGGTCTGCATACTGCTTAACACAAGAGCCGCCACTTGGAGTGACGGCTTTTATACGCTGTATAAAAGCCGTCACTCGAAGTGGCGGCTTTTGTGAAGTAATACAAGAACTGCCACTTCAAGTGGCGGCTTTCTTAACCCTGGTTAACCCGAGCAGTATTTTGGGAATTATTATTAACCCGGTAGTATTTCGGGAATTATTTATTTAATTAGCATTATTCCGGGAAAAAACTCAATCAAGACTACAAGCTTTCATATTCTAAAAATGTTGCATTATAGTTTCATTATCAATGCTTCTAACAACATCTCTCTCAATGTAGCACACCAAACAATCAGTAAGATAATCATCTCCCATGCATCTTATTGCGAATATCTGTCTTGATAATATTCATCGCAGAGAAGCAGTGGCGGAGCCACCTTTGTTCAAAGGTGTTCACTTGAACACCTAGAACTTTGAAAAAAATGTTAGTCAACATATATAATTTTAATTAAATTATTTATTGTCTTTACAAATTTTAATTAAAAAAAAATTGAACACCCAAAGTTCAAAATGTAGATCCGCCACTGCAGAGAAGGCCCTTTCAACGGTGTCTGTTGCAACTGGTAATACTAAAGCCAACTCAATCAGACGATATACTAAGTGAAAAGAATTGTAAACTTTAAGCTCAACCATTTCTTTGCAAACTTCACCAATAGTTTTCACGGCAGAAAATAATTCATTTGTTCTCATTTCATATATCCACACCTAGAGTTGCTCTTTCATCTCCATTCGATCAACAGATGAAAAATCGCATGAATATAACACCGCAAGGTTCAATAGCTTTGACTCACAGAAATCGGAGAACTTATCTCTAGGATCAAAACATGCTAGACAAGTGAGTAATTCTGTGTTTGACTCATTAAAGCGATTCTCCATCTCAAGACTCATCTGATCAATAACCTACAATGAAAAAAATAGTTATAATAATAATGTCAAAACAAAAATAAGTATAATAATAACAACAGTAATAATAGTAATAATAATAATAATAGTAATAATAATAATATAATAATAATAATAATAATAATAATAATAATAATAATAATGAGCACCAGGCAAAACATATCAACCCGAAAGTGATGATAATTTGTTATGGGGTGATGAACAGGTCTAGAACGATGTTTCATCTCTTCCATGTTAAGAATGTCAATTTTGTTCGTGACAAAAAAGCTATTGACATCTTCCGAGAGATCATTCCATCCACTTTCTCTTAACTCTTGAAATTTAGCTTTAGTGCTTTTAACTAAGCTTACAACCTCAAGAATGTTTTGATCTTTTTGTTGCAAGAAATGTGACAATATATTCGTCAATCCCAATACTTTTTTCATCAAGTGAGCAATTAAAACAAATTGATAACTCTCCATCTTTTCTACCAAGCTACTGGCAGTGCCTCTCGATTTTAGATCAGTTCAATCATCAAATATATTATCAAGAACTTGAATAGTAGAGGACCACATACAAAGAATACGAATAATGGTTGTATGATGTGAACCCTAACGTGTAGCTCTCGACCTAGCTAAACTACTTTTTTGATTCAATCCTCTCCCAGTTGTAAGTTCACCCTTTTTTAAGGATCGCTCCATAACAACTCCGCTATTGTTTACAAATCTAACACCAATTGTCATTTGCTCTTTCACAAAATTATCACGAGCTTCATCGTGATGCACAAGAACTAATAATACCCTTTTGAATCTTAGGACTAGTAAGTTGGTGATTGATGGTGCATTATCTTTCACCACCTTCTCAACATCAACATTGCGAGCACTATACCAATCAAGCAATAATTCCAAGAAATTTTCTCTATTCAATGAAGTTTCTCTCTCATCATGCCCACAAAAATCCAATCTTTGTGAAATTAAAAATCTAACACAATCTACACTTGCATCCAAATGAGTGCAGTATGCAGCACCCAATGTTTGTATTCCTGAAGCCACACTTCTTGAAAGGCTTTGCTTTTGATTCTTGAAAGAAAAAAATCGTGTTCTAGGAGCATTGTGTGCACTATTTACAACTCCTACATGGTCTCTAAACTTTTGAGGACTTCTTCCAATTACGAAATCTGGTCCTCACAAATAAATCATCTCCAAATCTCCTCCCTTCTACCCCATGGAAAAGGTAACACCAAAAGCAAAATGCAGCATCTTTAGAAGCACTATATTCCAACCATTCCCAATGTTTAAACCACTCTTCTCGAGAACATTTCATTTTTACCCCGAGTAAAGTTCGTGGAAAATCATGAGACAACGGTTGACAAACACCTTTAACGACATATGCTCTCATCACGACATCTCTTACTCAAGGCTCATATTCAATGATTGGGTTTAATTTTGTAATGCGGAATCGCTAATGATATCCCACTCACACGTACTATCTATGCGGGTTCTTTTGTCTCCCCTAATGTCATTAGACTCATCTCGGACAATGCTTACATTTGAAACAACAACATTTGCATCGCTTGAGATAGATTGATTAGAAGCATTCAAAGAACTATCTCCTCGAGTCAAAGACCTCTTACTCTGAATTACAAAGTTATCCAAACTCATATTCCTAATAAAAAAGACAAATACATTCAAGTCTAATTAAAGTAATTTTGCATCCTAATTATTTCACTAAAAATTGAAAAATCCCTTACAGGTATTAGGGCGCATTCACAAATTTAAAACATCAAATTTCAAGTAAACAAACAATCCCCAATATTCTTGATTAATTGATTATTAACAATTTTAATTTTTAAAATAACCCCCAGTGGCCAGTTGTGTAGTTGAATGAAATTAAAAAGTAGGCGCCGGAATAAATTTGAAATAAGCTTACAAATGAAGGGGGCGATTAGGCGGTGCGGCGCTGCAGCAGCAATTTAGCAAGACAACGACAAGTCCACGGAGAGAGGCAAGAGTGTGAACCGTCCACGAGGGTTTAGTTTTTGGAGGTTTCCCCCCTTTTGCCTTCTAGAGTATTACTGAGTTATTAGTGGATTTTGTTTATAAACTTGGGAAAACTATCAAATAGCCCATTAGGTTGAGAATTCTATCTTTTATTTTAATTCAACTAAAATTTAAATATTGTGTATTAAATTTTAATTTATAAACTGTAACATGTTAGTATCTTAATTATCTACCATAATCTCTTAATTGTTTTAGACTACTTTTAGTTGGTCGCACATTAGGTTACTTTTTAAATTTTAACTTTTTTCGTTACTTTTGTTTTCAACCCTTAACTATTTTTATCTCCTTTTTGAGAATTCTATATCTTTTATTTTAATTCAACTAAAATTTAAATATTTTGTATTAAATTTTAATTCATAAACTGTAACATTTTAGTATCTTAATTATCTAATACTGATTTTTTTTATACAGGTTAGGGGCACTGATTTTTCCCTAAGTACTAGTAGTGAAATTCCTGGCCAGAAGTCGGGGCATTGATTTTACCCTAAGTACTAGTAGTGAAATTTCTGGCCAAAAGTGGGGGCACTTTCCCCCAAGTCCCCTGGGTCCTCCACTGGTTGTTAAGTGACGATTTGTAAACGCTATAAAATGAATGAACCCGTGGTTAATTAATCATTGATCATCTCATGATAAGTATTAATCCTTGATGAAGTGAAGATACTCCACATCAGAGTATTCGAGATAAGATAGTTAAAGAAATAACCTGGATCAATAAACATTTCATCAAGTGGAAAGTAATAAAACCAAACCCTTGTCTCTTAATTATAAGGGATAAGGGGCAAATAAGCCCTCGAACTAACCGAAAAAGTGCAAATCACCCCTTTTATAGGAGGCTCTATCTGACTGTCGCCATTTGGGGAGGTTACCGGTGAAATTTTTTGATGATTTTTTTGAGAATCTTCTTCATTAAGTCTGGTTTACCCATACCAAATTTTAGCTCAAAATGCTATCGGGAAGGCAGTCTAATAAATGTTTGAAGATAACTGCGCAATTAAACATCACCATATATTTCAGAAACTCATTTGACCGCCTTCCCGGTTGAATTTGTAGCTGAAATTTGGTATGGGTAAACTAGACTTAATGAAGAAGATGCTCAAAATAATTCATCAAAAAATTCCACCGGGAACCTTCCCAAATGGCGACGGCCAGACAGAGCCTCCTATAAAAGGGGTGATTTTGCACTTTTTCGGTTAGTTCGAGGGCTTATTTGCACCTTTTCCCTAATTATAATGACATAATTCATTCATATTAGTGTTTAAAATATTTCTCAAATAAAAAAAACAAACTCCCCTTTTGTTACAACTTCATACAAGAAGAAATATCTTTCCTTGTCGATACAAACTCTACTACATTATACTATTATATTTAGTGCTAGTAGTGAAATTTATTTTGAAACACACGACTTAGTGCCATCAAATTACTCATACAAGACATAATCAGTATAACTTTCAAGACATAATTTTAAGGGATCATGGCCGAAGATGCCTTTGATCAGGAACCAAACGAAGAGCTCTTCATGGGGGGAAAGCCTTTGGTGCCAGTGAGACTGTTGTGATAGAGATTGATCCGGACCACATACTTTGTAGTATAGAGCCACAACCCTTCAAGCTTTTGGTGTTGGTGAGACTATTGTGAGATGTGTCAAATTAAACTTGATCCAGCATGGCCCTTCAAGGAACAATTCTAGAAGCTCTGTCTTCGACAAGCTTTAGTTA